TCCCCCGGAGGAGCTGGAGGAAGTGTCTGGAGAGAGGGAAGTCTGGGCATCTTTGCTTAGACTGCTGTCCCCGCGACCCGGTCCTGGATAAGCGGAAGAAAATGGATGGATGGATGGAACATGCAGTGAACACTTTACTTTCTAAATTGACATGAAAAATGTCATTTAGCATCATGTTACTGTTTGACAGGTGGGATGGCGACTGCCCCGAAGGCGTGAGCTGCGACTACGCCCACAGCCCGGAGGAGCTGCAGGAGTGGAGGGAGAGGCGGGATTTCCTGCGCCACAAGTTGGCCAAAGCCAGGGAAGACATGCTCATCATGCCTGATGAGTTTGACTTTGGGAAATATAACTTTCTACTTCAGGACTGAAAAGAATGAATTTTTTGACTTTGTGAGCCATTTTTTGTAACTGCCAAAGTAGCGTCTCGGTGTATTAAGAGTTCTGGAATCACAACCAAAATGAGCAGGTGATGTGCTCAGTGTGTCGAGTTTACCAAAAGATCACGTGAAGGCTGAGGATTGTGTTTGCCTCCTCAGAAAGCCATATAAATTTACTTTAAATTGATAAATATTTTTAATTCTTCTAACAGTGTATGGAACGACTTGTTTCCCATCAGTTATGACATCACTACAGACTGCTCAGTACTGTGAAGCTAAGGCTCATGTTGATGCCCAGTTCATTACATATTATTCATACAGGGTTCATATTTAACCATACATGCAGACGCTGCTGCTCTTATCCACCTGACATTCATACAGAACTCTGGTGGGATGTTCCGTTGCTTCTGCTTGTGTCTTCTTTGAACAGGAACCTTCATTCCGTCATTCACTCAGAGATTATGTTAAAAGTGGAAAATAAATAATTCCTCAAAATTTTTTTTCTCATAGTGTTAATTTCTAACACAAGAAGTGTTTTATTCAGTTCAGATCATCAGAGAAGGTTGTTTCCAAATTGGCTTTATTATTATTATTATTATTGTGAGTTTTCCTCCAGACAGACCAGGGGCCTATTTCAAGAAGG